TTCAAAACGATAGCCTCCACCACCGAGAAGCGATGGAAGGATTCTCGAGAAGATACAGAAAAGAGCGACAAGGTCGGTCGTTGGAATAGCAGAAAAAACATATGTTAGTTGGTTGGAGGCAATCGGCAGGAAGCCTTAGACCTAGGTTTCGTGCTTTTGGCGCTCGTCAGCAAGGCGTATCCGCAACCTCAATGGCGCTGATGTCCCACCCATGGAACCTAGGTCCAGGGCTTCCTGCCGATCGCCTCCAACCAACTAACATCTACTGGTGTGCACTGCGATGCTGAGCTTCCTAGCTTGGTTGCTATATTGCAAATATGATCGATAGAATTCGATCTGCACAAAGGACTAGACAACATGAAGATGATTGCACTCCCGTGACTAATCAATACAGAAAAAACATATGCACAACGACTCAGACAACTCTACTTGTTAACACTAAACTATCGAAAGAAATGGGATGACCCGATAACCGTCAACAAGATCATTCACCGAGTGGACCACCCAAATGACCAACGTTATCGGTCGAAAACCGATAGTCTAACGGAAACCCCATCGTGAGGCAAATACGGGAGTGGAATTTGACTTCTTATCACACAGGGTATGTACCTTATGAAACGCTGTGCCAAAGGAGGTAGCTACAGTTACATCAGTCGACTCCTTTAAACGACTACTGGATGAGTATGTGGGCGCAAATATCTAACCACGAATATCTGTCAGTGGAAACTGACGATACGCTCCCCCATCCCTGAATTCCCGAGCCGCAGTATCTGCATCAAGGCGCACTTTTGCTCCATAATAATGCCGCCAACACTTATCTTTCCATAAGTGATTTCCACTCCTCTTTTTCTCATTCCACACATCTCTCCGTCCCAACATACCCATTCCAAGCTTCAGTCGGAAACGCGACCTGAGAGGTCACCCGCTAAGAAGAGAGCATGAGAGAGCGCGTACAAAGATCCGCGCCAACTCATTTGCAGTTAGTCTGTAAACTGTGGAATTCCCTCCCTTCAGCAGTTGTTGCAGCCCCATCCCCTGATACCTTTAAAAGGAGGCTAGACGCACACCTCGAGTCCTACGGTACCGATAGGCTATACTCGAGAAGCTTTCCCCAGATCAGATGTAGTAATACTGACTTGAGACCAGGGTAATCAATTAATCACATCTCTATCCTTTCAGGTTTTTCTGACCCGGGAGGATAATTGTGACCATTCCAAACTCAGAAAGTATTCAAATAAGACAGACGTAGAACCCAAGGAACCGCAGTTCCCTAATTCTACAACACGAAGTTTGAAGTTTGAAGCACTTTAAGTAACGTGTAATACTCACCTTCAGGTGCTTGCAAAAACAGGAATTGAAACGATCAACTGATCTTGCAAGCAGCTCTATTGCCTCCCAAAACAAACCAAGTGACAATTTGCAAATGAAATACCTTCAAACAGACAATAACTGCCTGCAAAGCTATGAGCAGGAAACCGCAATGACTTCCGTGACCATCAACCTCGCCTAGTTAACTAATTCACTAGTTACTAGCCGGTCCTAAGCCAGGGCAAAGAGGGAAGGTTGGGCATAGAGCTAGCGACCCTACCCCGTAAAACAAATCTAATCTCTAAAGAGACTTCAAAGCACGGACGAAATATAAAAAATAAAAACAAAATTATTCCTCCCTGGAGTCGGAGAGGCGAAATGACGCCAGTTGGTGAAAGCCTTCGGGAAGCCAATTGGCCTGGCCGATGTGTCTTCTCTCTCGATGAAAACGAAAGTAAACGTGAGGACATGGAATGTCCGCACCATGTTTGAATCCAGCAAGGCAGTCCAGATTGCAAACGGGATGAAGAGGTATCACATCGAAGTGCTTGGAATTCGAGAAAGCAGATGGAATGAGAGTGGAGTCTCCAAACTGTCAACTGGAGAATCAATAATCTACTCAGATATTGTCACCCAGATGACAACCACGAGCACATTCAGTTTTCGAGTGGCTATCATGATGTCTCCAAGGGCATCGAAGGCTCTCATGCAGCGGGAACCGATCTCCCCCAGGATCATGGCAGCAAGATTCAACCCAAAAGGAAGGAAGGTCACAATCATACAATGCTGCCCTACGCACCTACAAATAATGCAGAGCAAGAGAAAAAGAAGGAATTCCGCAGACAACTTCAATCAGCACTGGACAAGACCCCACCCCAGTTGGCGATATCAAAATTCCAATGGGTGGGGTGAAATGAATGCCAAATTGGGAGCAGATAACACAGGAGCTAACCATCGGTCGAGAAGCACTCGGTGAGGTGATGAACGTGGATGGAGAATTGTTCGCAGAATTCTGTGCATTCAACGATTTGCTGACTGGAGGCAGTATGTACAAACATAAGGATGTTCACAAAGCGAGCGACATGGATTTCACCAGACACCAGGACACACTAAAAATCTGATCGACTTCATCTCAATCTCAAGAAAGTGAAGGCGCAGCCTACTTGACACAAGGTCAAGAGGAAGAGCAGGTGCAGGCTCAAACCACTCACTATCTAGTGCAAGGAACTTTCCAAATCAAGTTAAAAGCCTTCAAAGAAGGTGACGATAGACCACAGTTCAAGTTCAACACCCAGATCAGAAACTGAAGGACGAAACTACAAAGGACATCTTCACGACAGCCAGTCATCAAGACAATATGGGAGATATCGAGCAACATCCCTGAAGAAACCTGTGTGGAAGAACACTGGAAGTCTTTGAAAGCTATGTGGAAAGAAACCTGCATAACCGTATTAGGAAGGAAGAAGAAAGAAGATAAGGAATGGATCTCGATGGACACACGGAAGCTGATGGTGGAGAGAAAGGAAGATGGTGAAGCAGAAGATAAACCAGTGCAAGGATGCTCAACGACAAGAGGAACAGAATACAACCTATAAAACACTACACTGGACAAAGAAGTGAAGAAGAGTGCGTGCAAACACAAAAGACACTTCTACGAAACACTAGCAAGTGAAGCAGAACAGGCTACAGTTAGGAGAGACAGAGATCTGACAACATTGTATCAAATAACCAGGTTTCTCATCTGTAAGGGAAGAGATCAACACACATGAAACCAATAAAAGACCATAAAGGAAATCTAATCACCAAAGAAGAGAAACAAAGGAAACGATAGGCCGACCACTTCAAAAAGCTCTTCAATCGACCACCACCTGCACTTCGTCCAGAAACACCACCTGCAGCCGCTGAATTACAAGTGAACATAAATCCCCCAACAAAAGCGGAAGTCCTGAACGCCATAAAGCTACTGAAATGTGGGAAAACAGCAGCACCAGATGGAATCCAGCCAGAAGCACTAAGAACAGACGCAGAGACAACAGCGGACATGCTCACACCACTATTACAGAAGGTATGGAAGGAAGAGAAGGTACCTGGCCATTGATTGGAAGAAGGGCTACCTTGTCAAACTGCCGAAGAAGGGAGACCTCAGTGTTTGCAAGAACTGGCGCGGAATCACTCTCCTGTCCACCCAAGCAAAATATTAAGCCGCATCATCCTGGAGAGACTAAAGGATGCACTGGATTCAAAACTGCGACCGGAACAGGCAGGCTTCAGGAAGTACAAATCATGTGCAGACCAAATTGCAAGGCTTTGCATCATCATAGAACGGAGTATAGAATGGCAGTCAACTCTCTACCTCAACTTCATCGACTTTGAGGAGGTCTTTGACAGCGTCGACCGACAAGTAATTTGGCAGTTGTTTGAACACTATGGAATACCACAAACCTTTATCAACCTCATTCAACAACTTTATGAAGATGTCATATGCCAAGTAATTCACAATGGAAAGCTCAGTGATGCTTTTGAAGTGAAGTGAAGGCAGGAGTGAAACAAGGTTGCCTACTATCCCCCATGACATTCCTGATTGTGGTGGACTGGATCCCGCAGCAAGCAGTGGGGAGCGAGAAGAGGGGAATAGGCTGGACCGCGGAAAAGAACCTAGAAGATCTGGATTTCGCCGATGACTTGTGCCTGATGCCGCACAAACTTGAAGATCTACAGGCAAAAACTAACAAGTTGATAGAAGAGGCAGAGCAGTGCAGCGAAGATGGAACTTCAAGTGAACTTACAGAAGATAGAGGTGATGAAGATACCCAACCAACAACACCAACAACAACAACACGCTCCAATCACCATCAACGGAGAAACCTCAAGGAAGTAGCCTCCTTCACCTATCTAAGCAGCACTGTTTCAACTACAGGTGATGGCACAGACGAGGATGTCAAAGTCAGAATCGGAAAAGCAAGACAGGCGTTCGTTAGCCTGAAACCAGTGTGGAGATACACTGCACTCAGCATCTGGAACAAGATGCGGATTTTCAACACCAACGTCAAATCAGTGCTTCTGTATGGTTCAGAGACTTGGCGCGTTACGAAAGGGATTTCCAATAAACTACAGACATTCATCAACAACTGCTTACGCTCGCTACTGAAGATTAGATGGCCAGAAAGAATAAGCAACAAGGAGCTCTGGCCTGTCAACGAACTAACCAAGAACCTGGAACCCAACAAATATTCACTAGAAAAAAGTGCAGATGGATTGGGCATACACTGAGAAGGCCGAATGGGGTCATCACGCGTCAGGCCCTGGAGTGGAACCCCGATGGGAAGTGACGAGTTGGACGTCCGAGGGTGACGTGGAGGAGATCGTGATAGGAGGAAACGAGAGTTTGTGGGCTGTCGTGGAGCCAGGTTCAAAAGATTTCAGCGAACACAGTTCACCGGAGACGTGCTGCTGAAGCCCAATGTTGCATTAGGAACCAAAGGGACTAATAATAATAATAATAATAATATAATCTGCGACCATCAAAAGAGTACAACCAAAAAACCAAGCCTCAAAACCTAGTAGAGAGAGCTCGAAAACTACAAGTTTCCTCTTCTCGCACCAGTGACGTTGGGTGTTGGATGCTGGAACTTTCTCACCACCACTGAACAAGATCTTTGTTTACACGGCTCAATTTCAAACCATACGGTTTTGTGAATTGCTTGACCTCACGCTACATTTGAATTGTTTTCATATGTGGTTTTAAGACTTGATGTTAGTTTCTTTCTTGGAAGACTGGATTATTTTCATGATGTCGTCTGATATTAGTGATTTTACTTATGACAAATTGCTCGCATTGGCATCACGATACAACAGACGACTTCAGCAGGATAAAATGAGTCGCCTACCTTTCTTGGATGGCGCTACGGGTATAGCTCAGAGACCATGCCTATTGTACCGCAACCAAAGAGAAAGAGAAGGAGGTGAGCAAGTTCCAATAAATCCTAACTTTTAGGCTATTTAACCCAAATTTATCGGTATCGCCCTCATAGATGGAAAAAAAGCAGACGAGCTGGTCAGCTTCCTTCTTTTTTATATCATGGAGATACACTTAATGGAAATTTAAAAACTGGTAACTGTCTTAAATCCTTATGTTTTCAGAACGTCTTAATATCGCTTCAGGTTATGACGTAAATCCTAAAGAAGTAGATGACGAAGATAATCGAAGTACATGGGCAGCTTGCCCAGAGTACGATGTGGATTCTGATGCTAGTGATCTTATGGATGAAAACCCCGTTGTTCGAAGGCGGAGAAGAAAAGGGCGAGTGAGTGCTTTTCAGACTTTTGGCCACAAGACTTACCAGTATTGTATTACTTTCTCAATAAATATTCGGCACAAAATGCCCACTGAGGAATACTTTTACAGCGCCTGAGTACTGTTATATGGTAGTTTGGTATTTTTCAGTTCTGTCAGCCACGTATTGGTATGCTTGTTGTCAGGACATCAGAAGCAATTGTTAGACGAAGCTAGGGTCTTTTGGCACCACAACTCAGTTGACAGTTGGTACATCATCTAACCCACTTGTTTCCTGCAGTACGAGATGTGCATCAGAAGCAAACTGGTAACAGTTAAATGGTTCCATAATGTCATTATAAGAAGTAGTAGCGATGGAATTTTTCATAGCTTTCTAATACCTTGTGTGAAGTATTTCTTGGTGTCACTTCGCTGCTTGTGTCCACAATGGAGTAATCTTTGGCTGTATTGCTATAGGACGATGTTGCTATAAAAGCATACATGCAGATCAGTAGATAAACATAACGGATTTGTTAAAAGAATTCATTTTTCGGGCTTGCCAGGTTTTACGAAGTCACATCTAGAGAGCTGAAGGATATGGTAGGTTCCAGATTAAATATAATGGATCGGAACGGAGGAATAAATAACTGAAGAGTGATACAAAGTTCGAGGAAAACTGAGGAGTATGTATATGTATGCGCCTCATTTGTAGTCAATTTGAGTTATTTCATCGGCAGTTTTCGGAAACTGAATCCTAGCTACTTGAGCACCACAAATTAGTAGCCCACACTTCCCTGCAGTTAGAAGAGTTAGGGTATCATAGATTAGTACCACTTCAGACAAACGAAGAGACTGCACTCAATGTGAAGTAATGGCTTATCTTCCCAATTTGATTAAAACATGGTATCAGTTGAAGGATGTTTTGACTATTGGTCTGAGCTGTGTAGGGGAATGTAGACCTGCTGGTTGGGGTCGGCGTGATAGTAGAAACCAGTGGTCAAAGACTTGGTAATATAACCGAAAATCTATCTAAGTGGTGCAAATATATTCACACAATATCTTCATCTCATTCATCATACTGAATCTAAATACTCTCTCATTCTTCCTTACTCTCTTTTGATGACTTCCACTTGACTTCTTCATTTCGCTATCTTTAATCTTGCCTGGTTTACTGATATGAGGTGGTAGGTTGAACCAGCATGCACGAATGCCAGGTTCTGTGTTGATTTCTTTGTTGCCTACCCAAACTGAAACATTGTACAATGGGGTAATTATATATATATATATATATATATATATATATATATATATATATATATATATATATATATATATATGTTAATGCAATTTCATTGTTTTCTTTCTACTGTCACAGTCACGTCGCTTGCTTACTGAATATCTGTGTATTTATTTTCAGATCATAGGTTCACAACACCTCTAACGTTTTCGAAGTTAAAAAATGAAGAAATAAGCCCTCAGTTTACTCTCTCAGCATAAAGTTGTGTTTACACTATAGCCATCTTCAAATCTTCCTTAGTGAGGCATAGTGATAACCAATAATATTAGTAAAGCAGTTTATCCTTTTGTTTATGGGAAATTATGATTGTTGTGTCACTTTATGTAAGGCCTCACTTATGTCTGTAGTCAACATTCTAATCGGTTACTAAATAAATGCAGAACCTATATTTTATGCTTTGATAGACCGCTACTATTTTCACTAGGAAGTTTACATGGTCTTATTGCGTCTTTTGGATGCGTACACACTCTTCTAGCTCTCTTTGGAAATAACTGGTTAAATCGCTGCACACTACAATAATTAAGTGGAATGTAGTTATTTGTTTGTATTAAAAGTTTAAAACTATCTAGTAAGATTCACTTCTCTGTTCAGACCCCACGCATTAGTCGGTCAGCTCATTCTGGACCAGGTCGGCGCCGTTCTGCTTACTCTGGTTTTGATGACGATGCAAATGACCGCCAAACGTCTTTACCTGTATTCCTGTGCGAATTTTGTGGTGTGCGATACAGGTCTCGGGCTGGATTAAACTATCACATCAATTCACAACATTCAGAGGTAAGTATACCGTACACTTTGTATTTTTTATTCTGAAACTATGGGTTTTGAAAGTTCTTATCTACATGTGCAGGTCCTTATTTTGAGTATATATATATATATATATATATATATATATATATATATATATATATATATATATATATATATATGATATCAATGAATGGTATGAGGCCTACTATAGTTATATATCAACCCGAATCTTTGTACTTCACATCAGAATGTCAAAGAGGTAGGCAGGAAAGATGGAAATAGTGATGTAAGAAGTCATGAAAAGCCAGGGAACAAAGGGACAAGATAATTCAAGGAATAATAGTATGTAACATTGAGCTTTCGGAAATCCCGGTGAAATGACACGCATGTATCTGCATTGCTACAGTAGACGCTGGACGAAGGCAACTATATCTGAATCACGTTTTCTAGCTAATACATCAGTTAAATGAGTAATTATTGATATTTGTCTTTGTAAACTATTGGCGGCTACTTATTAGAGTCTTCTTTTGCCGTCCAAAGCTGCCCACAATCATCTAAGCTTCGTCAAGAGTTTATGGCACTTTTTAGTGACTTTTCTATGCTGCTACTGAATTACAAGAAAATAAAAGCCGTAAGTCGACTGAATTATCCCAGTGTCGCCTACGTATTGTTCTTCTCTCTTTTGTCAGTGGATGAGTAAACAAGATGTGAGATTGCTTCGAAGTGCATCGCCATTTTTCTGAGTCCGTACTCTACCATTTAATCGAACATCCCATCGTCAACTATCAACTGAGACGTAGTCGAAATGTGTACATTCTATCATACGTATGCTAGCTCATGGGAAATGACCATCACAATCCCAAATATCTGAAAGGTAACCAATTCACCAAGTTGACGAGGTATGGTCAAAATAATTGCTTCACTTGCCTCCTGTATGCATATCTCAGAAATGCATGATCCATCCTCAGCTCTGAATTCTGGAGTTGTGAGGAGGTAGACCTAAAGTATATTACACAAATATTTAATGCCGAAACATGTTTGTAGCATGGCTTTAGCGAGCTGAATGTACTGTTTTATGAGCGATGAGTAGCCGATATATGCTGCAAAACTGATAGGAGTTGGAGGTAATTCAGGTTTGTGAAAAGAAAGTGGGGAAGACTTCTCAGAAAACAAAGAGAGAAGTTTAATTAAAGTACTGATGAATCTGTGCACGCGATTGGCATTTTAATGTACATCGCGGAAAGTTACTTCCTGGGGTAACTGACGGATGTCAAATCAGTATTTAGTTTTGTTTTGACCTAGGAGCTTTACCGTGCAACCCATTGAACAACTGCCAGAAACCGACCACACATAGCTTTTACTGACATGTCATTTAGATTTGGTTTAGTTGAGTCAACTGGCTTTTAAGTTCCACGAGAAAAAGGTAATGTGCTGTATTTCCAAGGTAATCGTTTTTTAAGCTTTCTTTGCTTAAATAGAAGGGTACTAACAGTTCAGAAAACAACTTAGTATCGTTATACTGTAAGCAATCAACAGTACAACCTCACCCTTAAACCTAACCTGCTTTAAGTCTCGCTGCTCTTCGACCTTCCTGATTGAGTGATGCTTCAAGGAGCGGGTGATCGAGTCAGCTTAATCATCCCCCAAGAATTTTGTAGGTGATACAGGGTTTTGAATGGTAACCAACTAGTTGGCTTTCGATTTTCTGAATTGATGAACTACAGCTTTCCTGATTCTTGACAGGTTACTTATTTCTGTCTCTGTACATCTGTTCTGATGTAAATCTTTTCAGTGGCGTGAAATGTGAGATTTTGCGCGTGTGGTTGGAAGAAACATCGTAGTTTTATGAAGATTTTACATGCTGTATCTAAAGCATGGAGACGACAAGAATCTAAGGTTTATGTTCGTTTTTGATACATAGTTTCATCTGTTATTAAAAGGGAGTTGCTTTTCTTTTATGGTTGCCTTGTTTTTGTCGTTGAATTTTTTTCTCACTGAAATGAAAGTGTTTCTAACTTTTTTTTCCCTTTCTTGTTTATCTCTGAGATATGAGAGTTTATTTTAACACGACAGATTTCCATAGAATATTCGCACTTCTTATCCACATCGTTATCACTTAATCTTCGTACTCGATTTTATAATGGCTAGACTGATAGGTTTCACACGAGTTTCTTCAAAGTTCGTATAAATGATGGAATATGCACACCTCGTAGTATTTTGTTTTCTGTAAAACAGAAGCCTGTGTTATCACGACTATTTTATTTTGTATTATCTTCTGAGTCTTAACTAGTCTAAGCTGTACTTCGTTATTGAAATCATCATGTTCTCACCTGTAAAATCATAGGTTCCAGTCAACTACCGTGCTTGTGACAAACAAGCAGTTGATATCATCAAGTGGATAAATTTAAAACGTTGCTGAATTTATACTGAGTAACAACTTCGTACAAATACTGCAGTACATTTTTAGAAGATTTTTTCTATGCCTATTGAGTTCTAAATTCTAAAGCATTTTTTTTGTCGACGGCGGTAAAATAGACGAAATTTTTCCGGATAAATGGATAAAGGCCGTCAGTTTTTGTGACAACTAATACTCTAGAAAACTTGAATAACGTTGTCTTCCTGTTTCTTGGTTCAATTATAGTTTTTGTGAATATGCATCTATCGTGTGTCTTAAAAAGCTGTGCTCATTTTGCTTCATTATCTTAACATATATTAACATCATACCAACTTTTTCTTGCTCCTTTCATCATTGATTATGTCAGACCCCAAGAATGAGTTGTGCGCGTCCAGCTTTCAAGTCGCCCTATCGAGGAGATGGTCACCATCACAACCATCATTCTCATCATCATCAACAACAACCTCAGATTAGTCATTTGCTCAATGGATCATTAAACAATTCAGGAATTTCCAATAATTATCCATCTGGTTCCCATTCCAATTCATTAAATAACAAGAACAATGATAATAGTAATCTATTTTCTTCTGCGAATGGTCCGATTGCTCCATCACGGGTTCGGCCTTCGACTGTCGAGAAAGGTGGTAGTTTAAGTGAGTGTTGCTGTCAAATATTTACAGTTTGTTTTTTTACGTTGTTGTTATTTGTGTTCATGATCGTGCATAACTTATGATGTGCTAGTTATCCTTTTTAATTTTGTATGCGAATTTCCAGTTATTGAAGCACGTGAATGGCGAGATGTGAATGTTACAGACTCGACCGAAAATACTTGTGATTTCTGTCTCGGTGATGAAAGATTGAACAAGAAGACCGGACAGCCAGAAGATTTGTTACGATGTTCAGACTGCGGACGGTTTGCTCACTTCTCCTGCTTGCAGTTTACACCAAATATGATTGCTTCTGTACATACTTACCGATGGCAGTGTATAGAGTGCAAAACTTGTTGGCTTTGTGGAACTTCAGAAAATGATGTAAGTGTCTATGAATTTATTAATTCTTTAAAATGAGAAATCTTGTTTCTTTTTAAAATTCCTCTAATGACTAAGAAGATGAGATAAATGCAAGGCTTAGCATCCGGTTTTGAATATTCTTTACCCCTATAGAATGGTTTTCCAACACTTCTTTCTTTACATAATATCAAATTAGTCATTTGCAAATTTTATCACTCAGTTAATTTACCGACATGACTACTGAAATTTCCACAGTGAATCCTTCACTAGCGCCCAAAAAGCAGTAACATGTTATTCGAAATGCGATGAAACTCGTGAATTTTAAACTTTTTATCAATCTGGGTACAGGCTAACAAAAACAGCAGATGGTGTAATTGAGTAAAAGTACTGATAGAGGACAAAGTTCATTGGTAAAAAATGGTACGAAATCGTACAGGTTTCAGCTAAAGTTGTTCACTGTTCATAAATTCACATCAGTGCTGTTACATTTGATTCACCAACTGACTGCATCCCTCGCAGTCAGTAAGGCATGTAAACTACTATCTATATTTATTCTAAAATTCCTCAAGACAGCATGAAGTTTAAGAAATGATAACAGGATGCAGTGGATTCCATCGAATTCCACAAAGAAAATTTTTGTCGTGAAAGCAACCATCTAGCCAATATTGAACTTCCGCTTCATTACGCAAATGCATTCACTCTATGTCATATATATATATATATATATATATATATATATATATATATATATATATATATGCAAAAATTCCCATTTAGACATTTAGTAAAACAAACAATGTGAGCGAAGAAATATTTCTTTTCAATTAGTTACTCATCAATGGCTCTACACTAATATAGCATTTTCAAACATAAAATTACATACCAATCTAGTGGTGAGAGTTGTTCAATGAAAGGTTATCAATCTCAAAGTTTCAAGAAGGTGATAATTGATCAGGTAATTAAGACAGTTAACTAAAGCAGAGATTAATTATCGTAGAAAGATTTTGCGAACAGGTTCTTACATAATTGATATTTTATATAATGATAACTTAAGAGCAAAAATGAACTGTTACGTAAAATGGTAAATTGTTGACGGTAATTTTACGTTTGAAAATGCTATATTAGTGTGGAGCCATTGATGAGGAACTAATTGAAAAGAAATATTTCTTCGCTCACATTGTTTGTTTTACTATATATATATATATATATATATATATATATATATATATATATATATATATATATATATATGCATATGTATATAATTTATCTTAATAAGTAAATCTGTTTACCAGTCTATGTTTACCAATCTATAATGCAGAGTATCTTTCGTAAAATAAACTTTATCACTATGTGCTTTCGAGCATATAAAGTAATATATGATCTTAGGAATTAATTTATTCATATTTTTATTCAAAGTTGTTTTTTTTGGTTTGACTTCTTTGTATCTCATTTCTTCACATTTCATACTGTTATTCTTACTGATATATCCTCATTTACTTCTTCTTTCCGAGTCCAGTAGATTAACAGTTTACAGTCGGATTTTAACTTATTCAATGCATTTCGTAATTACTGTTTAATTTTGTTCATCTTGACTAAGTGCATTAGCTGGAGTAAGTATAGGCTAAGAGAGGCCTCAGGTTTCTTAGATCAAAAAAATGAGTGTGTTGAAGAACAGTACTAGTGGTCTTGAGGAGATAGTTCAAAGTTCATCACCTTGACGTAAATTCATTTATTTGACGGCTAAATGTAAAGATATTTGTAAGCGTTTCCTATGTATCCGTTTTTATTTCTGATTATTTAAATCATTTTCCTTATCCTTTATTTGATTTGAACGTACCATGACGAACGAAGGTTTGGGTAGTTTGAAAAAGGTTGGGCACCGAGTTAGTATAGTTCATCACATAAGGTGAATTTTACCCTTGTAATCCCGTCGTAGTATATTAGAAGAAATAACAGAATAAATATTTTCTGTTATCCCTTAACGTTTTTGTCTTGCTAGGAAGATCCTTTTCAAGAATTTGAATATGATATTAAGTTTTCAGTTTAATATTCGATTGATTTTAAAAGTCACCCTAACAATAGCTGAAATGACCAAGTGGATTTTTTTGTTCCAGCTGAGAAGGCAGATTTTCATAAAATATATAGTTCTGATTGGCTATTTCAGTTGTTGCTAAGGTGGCCTTTTGAGTCACTCTAATATTCTAGTTTGGTACAGAAGCTGATCATTCAATTGGATCGTGATATGGAAAAAAGATCAATATAATGTGGGAGACTGAATTAACAAATCGGTTAGGTCTTTTTTTCCAGTTGTACAAGTTAGATGGAACCAAAATAGGGTGGGGAAATTTAGTTCGCCTATGAAAAGTACTAGGTAGTTGTGAGTCATCAGGGCTGGGGGAGTAAGAATAAATTACTACTTTGGAAAGATGAATATTTTAAAACCAATGTGTATTAATAATAATTAATATTAACAATGCTGACAGTAATAATAATGTAATATGTACATTGGTTCCTAGCACGTATATAACTCAGAAAGAAATGTGAATTTGCTGAAAATAGTGATTCTCAATAGAGAAACTCATACTGAATTTAGTCATTACCTCCAACATATCTGCATATTTTTAAGGTAGCATTCATCACGGTCTGACATCAATTGGAGAACCATTAGAAACCTGGGAGCACTGAACAGCTGTTTCATCATAGTATGGGACTCTCCAGGATTACGCACCTACGACCAGGCTAGAAATTGAACCCAAGACATTTAGGTTTCACGGCGAATGCGTTAACCATTCATCTACTGAGTCCAGTGGTCTATAACAATAGAGAGTGAAGTGGTTGAGTATATTGACCATTTCATTTACCTAGAAAGTCGAGTCAGCTGTAGTGGATCGGTAATCGACAAAGTCTTGGCACGGATACTTGGTTTTCATCAAGCTACGCCGCTTATGATGCTGCCGTGATATTGGATTGTCTATTAAGGATTGAGTGTGCTGCGCTATAGTTTGTCCTGTTTTATTATGTGGATGTGGAACATGGACATGAAAAGACCTCAAGTGTTTGATCACAGTTATCTTTGTCGCATAGTTCATTTGTAGCGGTGCCTCCGTGTCAGTAACTTTTTAATTTAGAGTTTCGTGTAGACGAAAAAAGTCAATTGATGAAGTTTTAAACTTTCACCGATGGAGGGGTGGCGGGGATATGTGTCATGTATGCCTAGTCACCGTCTGCCTGATCGTAAAATGTTGGTTGAAATAGGTTCTGATTGGAAAAAGGTGGTCAGAGTAAACCTTGGCATCAGTCCAAGGATTCTTTGACTGTTAGTCGGAGCTGTTTAGGTAAATGCAGACTTCCTAGTTGATGTCCGCGTGACTACAGGAACCGGTTGTTGCAGAGTGGGTGATATAGTGAAGAGTCTATCTCAGTGGCGTGGATACATTCACACATTATCTTCATTGTAGTCTTCATACTGAATTTCCTGATTGTTTCATTTTTTCCTCGTTCTATTTTCATACTTTTCTACCATTTCGACTAATTTCCTTATTTTTTCATCTCTGTGTATTATCGTTTGATATGTTGATATGAGGTGTGGCGACTTGGATCACCACGGAGTTATATCAGGTAGACGTCGACTGACTTGACTAGCTCATGGCTTTGGAAACGTTTTCTCCGACTCCAAAATATGAGGAAGATATATGTATGGCACATATGCAGTGTTAAACCTAAGACATCAACAGGTTTTTCACTCACTGACTCTCTCATACATACAAGTTTAGTAGTGAATTCTATCAAAGTTACTGATGAATTAGTGGATAAGAAAAAATTTTCATCAGATTACGAAACGACACAAAGGAAAGGTGGTTTTTAAAATACTAAAGGATTTCAAAAATGTCACTAAAATAGGCACTGGAATTTGACGTCGTATCTCTCAATACTGGTTAAGACAGTTTTGATGAGATGTATAAACAGTGGTATCGCTAGTCTAATAAGTAAGTTAAAAATGTATGGAAGGGACTGAAGCAAGAACTGTTCCCAAGTCTAACAAAAGGCTTGCATGAACTCAGAAGGAAAAGTTGTCATGAAGTGCTATTGCGAGATGACTAGGAATGTTAACAAAGCTGTGGTTATATTGACATTTAAAATGTCCTGAATTCCTCTGCCAGCCATCAAGGGGACCGTCGCACTTTATTATAACTATAAGCCAAATATGAAAATATCGTCACGTAATTTGGAGTGCTTGTTTCGAAAGTGGGCAGGTGCTGATATTTTTAACAGCAAAACACAGTGGGGAGATTAAAGTCGCCATCGGGGATGACCAAGTGATAATCATACTATTCAGCGTATATATATATATATATATATATATATATATATATATATATATATATATATATATATATGTATATATATAACAACCTTGCATGGTGAACCGTAGAAATTGTGTAATGTCTGTAAGGCTCATTAGCTGCCTAAACCTGAGTCAGTGGAGACGATTTCAAATGCCTGACCGATTGTTTGATAGTCAAGTACCTAATCCAGTGTGTAACTGCTTCACACTGCACTACTAGACGCCTAATGTTGACGTTCGAGTCATTATATAACGAGTATCGCGCTATAAAGTGTTTATTTAGTGATAGGATTTTGCAAATTGTATTATCAAAGGCTTATGATTATTTTATACTAATTGTCTAATGCAAACTGTTACCCAATTTTCGTAATTTCTTTCTTACTTAAATCACTTTGTTTCGCATAAATATACACTATGCTGAAAATTATTTGACTGTTATTTTTATTTATACAGGAACAAATGCTGTTCTGTGACGATTGTGATCGAGGTTATCACATGTACTGTTTAGATCCACCGTTATCTGAACCACCGGAAGGTAGTTGGAGTTGTAAGTTGTGTGTAGAGCGTTTTCAAACAACAGCTGCTTCCTATTCTACCTCTTTAGTTGATGTTGGTATGACGAAGAAATCTGATACATATAATAATGTAATAAATCATAATGATGTAAATACTTGTGAGTCAAAGTTGAATGTGCCTTGTTGTTCAACGGCGTTGACATCGTCAGTTGTTAGCACTGTTGATGTTGCTGCTGCTTCTTTCCAAACACCCTTAACCTCATCTTCACCATCCTCTTCCTCACTTTTCCAGTCTTCAACACATCTTCAAAAGATATTGATTAACTATATCGATCCAACTGTTTCTTGATAAGTTTTTCTTTGTGTATCCTGTACTCTTCAAGTACATATATTTACGATGAGAAATCATTGTATATGTCTTGGTAACAATAATAATCTGAAAGTATTTTCTAGGATTTTTAAATTCACTGAAAGAATCTAATATTTTCTCTCTATCCAATCTTCTTAAACCTCTCTTACTACTTATGGAGTTGATTGACCCGAGGGATAATGAAACAAAGGTTGACAAGTGTACACACTGTTTGAAACAAAGTGTAAACGTCTGCCTACATCAATCATTATCTTTATTTATGTGCATAAATCTGATCAATTGCTTTTCTATCTCACTAAACTGACTACTTAAAACGTCTGGCTATGCATGTGTGTGTGTTATACTTGTCTTGTTTCACTGCTATCCTTTCTTCATTTCTCTAATAATGAGGGAGGAGCATAAGTCAACCTTAGTGTAACCTCTTATTCACTTCTATGTTTAGTGTTTTTTTCCTAAAAAAAATGTATTTTTCTCTAAGTGTATGTTATAATGTGGTTAATGTTAGATATTCTGATGTACTGAGCTATTATTCGCCTTCCTCTCCACTTTTTGTAAGAAATATGATTCTCAGTTGTGTTCTTTTTTTTACCGCTAGTATTTTATAAGTTAGCGTTTAATGATTACCAATTTTTCTACCTGTATATTAAGTTGTTTATCCTGCATCATCATCATAATGATACGGAGGGGTTGATCTTATTTCTTTGTTACAACCTCTGTTTCTTAGCATTTTTCTTTGAATAGGTGGCAGATGTTTGCTACCATCATACAAAATTACTGTTTTTATTAATTTATTGCATTATTGTTATTATTTAAAACACTTCTACTCGACACTATTATCGCTATGAATATTGTGTTTTCTACTTATATGTGTATGCCTTTTTGTTCAGCTCTTTTTTCTATTCCGAAAATGGTATATATTTTGTATTACTATTATTATTATTATTTCTTGACTTGACTGCCATATTTTACTTTCTGACGAAGTATTTTAACCTGGCTTACTTTATCATGGATTGGTTTAAATGCTATTAGATTTATATGTAATAAAACTAGGTTACTAAAAATGACCTCTTATTGTTCAGTTCTGATGGGCACCGGCGTACTGTTTACCGTTCTGAGTTGCATCAAGTGAAAAGACAAATAAGCGAGAAATGTAATACTAACCATTGCAAGACACTATAAAAGAGACAGGAAAATTGTGATAAGTGGAATAGGGTTATCCTAATAGGTAGATATCAAATGAAGAAGAATGGCATAAATTTAAAATGTCTGTGTATTTTTGTATACAGTGGTGCCTCGATTATTAACTACTGGCATGGATTCTATCGGTGACAGTATTGAAAACCAACAAAAGATAGATGTGGTTCACAACGATGTATAAGAAATGCGCGTATTTCTCACTTCAAGTTACGAAATTGTGGTCTTAGGGTTTACCATTATGGGAAAAGGTTCTTCCCATGGATGATAAGCTCCTGTTTCGATTTTAGTCTCAGTGACGGGGCAGCTCTTGCGTTTGCAGATACCTGTATCCCCGTCAAGATGGAATCGGATAATCTCGTATGTAAAATAACTTCCTAGGTGAGTGCACTATATTACCTATCGCGTTTAAATATGTTTTTATTTAGTGACAAAACGCTTGTTTCTTTAATATAGGTGTAAAACTTGAGCACTGTGGTAGAATGCAATTCCATATTACATTTGTTTATTTTATATACTACAAGTAGTGACAGCTTATTATTTACCCTATGACATTTCGAACATAAATTACTGCTCATAGTCACATCAATCAATGTAATCACACTACTTTCGACATTTGATTTTTATAGTTATATCACCTCATACGGGTTGTTTTTATTGAAGTAAAATTTTCCATATCTCTAGTATAGGTGTTGCGTCATTTCTGTTACATGTGTTGTGTGTTGATTCGATGAACAAAGATTCACTAGTCAATCTCTCCACCCAATTATATTGGACTTATCCCACCCTATTGTGTGGTTGTGTGTTAATGCATGCATTGCAATAGCCGATTTTTTTTCTAGATTATTGATCTTATTCAGATATATCATTCTATATTTAACTAAATTCCTATGTTCGGCTATTCTAATTGACCCCGACCCGCTAGTTTGACCTATGTACTTGACCCCACAGTCATTACATGGGATTTGATAGATTATATTATTTTACTCAATTGGTTCTATCGGATCCTTCAACCAGCCAGTAAAGCTTATCTCTGAGTGAGTTTGTAGGTATAAATGCCACCCTAATTCCAGTTTTGTTGAGAATCCTACGTAAAGTTTCTGATGTACCTTCCTGATAGGGCAACACAATGGAGGCTGTGAACGTTTTTCTACTCGTGTTATCATTATTCGTACTCGTGTTACTGTTATCTTTTCGCTTCTTGTGTATTCGTACGAATTTCTCGATAAACTACGGAGGATAATTATTAACTATTAGCGCTTCTTTTACGTGCTTCAACTCCTTGTTTAGGTCCTTGCACTGACTAGTCAGTTTTCTAGCTCTATCACTTAGACATTCGACTAAGCTTGCCTTAACTGACATTGGATGAGGTGACTTGAAGTCTGTATACCTGTTAGAATGTGTCAGTTTTCTGTAGACGGTAGTATCAAAGCCATCGTCTATCCTCGTTTTATCCTGCAAGCCAACATAGATAATTCTCCTTGTTCATTTTCTTGCATTATATCGTGTGAAAAGCTTTGTGAATCACGCCTTGGGACTGGGATTTGTGATTTCGTCTCCTCCTGTAAATTGCGACTGCAAAGTAAAAGCTATTTGATTAAATAACCTTGTTATAGTACAGTGAGTAAGTATAATAAACCGACCTCTAAAAAGTGTCCCTCACTTCGTAGTTTTACATTCAAAGACTCCGTAAGTTTCTTCCTCTGCGATTTACTCGTTCGTTATTTACTTTCACGGTAACCAATGCCACATTGAAAAAGTTGTTATGGAGTATGCTTACTTTCAAAAAGGGAGCCCAGTTTCTCAGGTGAATGTGTACTTTAGATATATTCTGGTGTCCGAAGGCAAATTTTACACTCTATTTTCTCGTAAGATATCTCAAAACACTCGTACAAGTCAATAAATGAGTACAGCATTTTGTTTTTTATTTCAAGTTTGTCTGTCTGTTTGAATGGTTTATCGTTCCAGTTACCTGTATATTTATATTACTCTCAACTTAGTAACCATATCTAAAACAAATGTAATCTAGCTGCATATCTACTGAGTGCAACAGCTTGCATATAATTTTGTTCTAACCTAGTGAGTTCTTATTCTGAGTAATTGTTAAGTGAATCATCAACTTTTCGTGTTCCATGGCTGGTACCATTTCATTGTGATGAAAGTTATGTTAATGTCTTATTTTAGGCAGAATATTTCAGTTATACAAATTGTATGATCTTCAACTCAGAAAATGTTTAAGCTTCTGCGAATTTTCCACAAATGACCAAACAGTCCATTCATCATAATCTTATTTTTGGCTAGTTATGCATAGAAACCTTCTTATCATTTGTACTTGAGTTCCTACTAACCGCTTTACTAAATGGGTCTTTGACTGTAACATATTGATATTCCTGTTGATCTGTTAGTGGAATTCGGATTATTAAGCTTTAAGTAGTCGCATTGTTTGTGTTCATTGATATGAGTAAGCAATTTCTTTATCCCTACTTTATGTTCAAGATGGAAGATAAAGCAACAAAATGATATCAGAAGTTGGAAAATGCTCGAAGGCGAAAAGAAAATACAATAGGAGGAACAAAATTATCAACAAAGTTAATATTTTAAATGAAAATAAAGTGTATACTTCTATTTTGCTATGGTTACTTCTTAACCCTGTCTCGTAGATTCCCTAAACACTGATTTATGTTATTCTTCTAGACTCAAACTAGAAAATCTGTAATTCTTTATAAAGATTAGACTACAATCTAGCGAATTCATGGATTGGTTTCATGCTATGATATGATCTTTCTAACTCCTATCCAACCTGGGTCCACTAGAGCAACTCACACGTTCTTGTACGGCTTAGTATTTGTAAAACGCATATAATCAATCAGTTGGGGTTCACAACTTCATCAATTAAGACATATCTCTTACTAAATGTTTATCACCTAATCTTCAAAGCGACACCACCATATTCCAATGATCCTTTAGAGGCACACTTGGTAAAATATTCTTGTAGATATGGCGAATTCTCTGACTTTTAATGATCATTTTTCACAAGATGAGGTAAGACAGTAGTCAACTTGACCTAAATGCTCTTTCAAATCTCATCCTAAATTGAAGAAAACTAATTTCACCTTGTGTATACGTCATCTTTCTACTGAGGATGATGCAACTCAATAGGATCAATACTTTCAGTTCACTTCCTATTGTCAAACGTGGCATCTTTATTAAACAACACTGATGCAATAAAATGACATTCTAGAGGTGAGTTAGACATTTCAATCATTTTCACTTTGTTGTCTTTGGTTTTCAGATAACTGCATTTCATCAATATTTTCATATCATAGAACTGTTATTCACCAAGTTAGTTATCCTAAATTCAGTTAATTTATTGCGCTGTAATAGTTGTCTTTAATTGGTTCGTTTGTCCGACATACTTGACCTTGTGGTATTTCTATGACATTTCGTAGATTAATTTATTGTTCAATTAGATCAACAGAATCTTAAAGCGAACTCAGTTTTTACTTTTAATTGATACCTTACTCACAATCTTATCAAATATCGTGCGTAGGATTTATGTAGTAAATACTACACTGGCCTTGAATCCCTTATTAGCTACGTTGCAGTTACTACTTATATCGTTAATCCTGTTATTTGTTGTTACGAACTCGTGAGTATATTCCCAAACAGCTTTTAGTTTGTTCTTTATAGCCGTATTCGGGGTTTATGATTTATTAGTTAGACTCATGTATCGCGATTACTTAAGCACTTCGATAAACGGTACCTTCAATAACATTGGGTGAGATGACCCATAGTCAACATTTTTATTAGACTACCTTGGCTTCTTATAGACAGAGTATCATCATCCTTTCCTTGTTTTATTTAACAATCCCAAGTAACTTATTCTTCCATTTTAGTCCATTTATTAGAAATGTCACGCAGTGAAATGGTATCATTCACTAGATAATGTTTTGGACACAATTTATTGTCCATACTCATATCAGGTAACTACAAAACTTCGAGACAGAGTTTTTACAGTCGTAATTTTCTCTCCTTCTTTGTGATGACAACGGTAGTAGAATTTTCCATATATCTGGAATAGGTGCAGAATCATTCCTGTTACTGCATGTATTTAATGTTGATTCGATAAACAAAGATTGGGTTACCAGTCTCTCCTTCCACCCAACTAAAGTTAGTTTTCAATGTTGTCGCTCTATCCCACCCGGCTGTGTATAATTGCGTGCAGAGCTATAGTCGAGCTCCTTTCTAAATTTCTTATCTTATAAGGATCTACTAATCTTGATCTAGCTAAGTTTTGTGGTCTGTTATCCCAATCCACCCTGGTCGACTACTTCAACCTGTGTATTTGACCTCGGGATCATGCCAAGCGATTTGGTAAAGCAGATTATTTTAGTTGATCGCATCAATAGGATCTTTTAACTTACAAAGCTTGTTTCTAAGTGAGTTTGTTGGTTTTAATGACACCTTAATCCCAGCTTAATTGAGAAGTCTTCGTAACACTTCTGAGGGGCCTTCCTTGTAAGGTAACAGCAGAGGCTTTGAATTCTCTCTCAACTCTGTTACCATTATTACCATTATTGGTACAATCACTATTACTAGTAACACCTGTGTTACTACTGCTTATATTTTTCTTTCGATTTCTTATGAATTTCAGTGGGTAATTATTGAAATGCAAAGTATTCTTGATGTATCTAATTTCTTGTCGTATATTTTTTGACATCTGCAGTTTTTAAGTTTCAAAATAGAGTATATAAACAAACTGAAGATGTTGCCATGGAATCACCAATATCTTTGCAGACATATTCATGGATAGTTGGAAACGGATAACCCTTCAAACATTTAGTCCTACTCCAAAGGTGTG